CTCATATGGAGCCCTGGGATCTGTTTAAACCAAACATCGTAAGTACCTGTGACTCTATCCAGCCATTTTGAGACTGGCCTGAGTTTGAACACTGACCTCAATAATCTGTTGGTCTTCATGGAGTGCCTGCCATGTACCCAGCACCTGTGCAAGATACTGGGAGGCACAGAGCTGAATCAGGTAGGGTAATGTGGGGATGGAAGGAGAGAGGGGACCCCTCCTGTTTTTTGGGGACACAGCACCAGGCACATACCTGGCTTTTATCCTGAAAGATGAGATAATTAGCATGTGAGAACAGTAGTTATCATAACCATAACTAGCACCTGTATCTTTCCTTGGGGTCTCCATGGCCCTCTCTGCAAGGCAGAGTATGACACACTCTGCTCCTTCTGACCTCCTCGTGGCCTAGGACCCAGACAAAACACCACTCCACACATCAATGTGCCTGATTCCTGCTGCTGCCCTGAACACCCCAGAATGAAGTCCTCCCTCTCTGCACCCCATGGTTGCATTTTATCATTGTTTACATAATGTGCTATGTTTTCAGTCATGTCCCAACTGGGATTTGGACTCCCTATTGAGAGCAGGGCTTGCACCTGATTGTTCCATGTGGCATCTGACACAGGGACCCATCCCATCCCCACTTCTGCCTCCGCAACCCCTGCCAGCAGAGGTGAGAAATTATTGGAGGATGAGTGGGGAGAGGAATGTGCCCAGAGGAAAGTTTCCTGCTTGTAAAGCAGCTGAGACAAGGGCTTAGAACCCAGAGAAATCAGGGTGGGCCTCTGAGAAACCAGGCAACAGGCCAAGTGCAAATCAGGCAGGGGCCGGCATTGAGTCAAGGCCTGCCTTTCCTTCTCCGGGTGTTTGGGGCTAACGGGAAGTGGGGCCAGGACAGCTGTGCCTGGTGAAACAGATGTTCTCTGGGCCTGAATGTGGGGCATGGAGGAGGGGGGAACTGGAAGGGGAGGGACACAGCCAGAGAAATGAAATATCCACAGACCCACTTCTGTTTATTCCATTTTGTGTTTAGCATGGAAAGTCCCCAAACCCCCACAGAAGTAGAGGGACTGGCTTGAGGAAACTCCCACGCACCCATCACCCAGCTCAAAGTGCCATCCCCACCTTGCAGTCCTCATTCCATTTCTCCCTCAAGCCCCTTGTCAACAAAAATGTCAGACGCCAGATCATTTCACCCATGAATATTTCAAAATGTATTTCTCACACATTAGCACATTTCTAAAAACAAGCCTATCATCACCACACCTAATTAAATGAACCATTCCTTAAGATCCTCTAATAAGCAATTCATCTTCACATGTTCTCATTTTCCTGAAAAATGTCCTTTTACAGTTCATCTGTTTGAATAAAGAGGTAAACAAGGTCCATACATTCCCGGGCTGGAGTGTAGTAGCATGATCTTGATCTCGGCTCACTGCAACCTCTGCCTCCTGGGTTCAAGCAATTCTCCTGCCTCAGCCTCCCGAGTAGCTGGGATTACAGGTGCCTGCCACCACACCCAGCTAATTTTCGTATTTTTAGTAGAGATGGGGTTTCACCATGTTGGCCAGCCTGCCAAAGTGCTGGGGTTACAGGCGTGAGCCACAGTGCCTGGCCTATACATTGCATTTTGGTGCTTTATCTCTTAAATCTATTTTCATCTCTGACAGTCCTTTCTCCCTTCCTTTTTATGCCCTTTTACTTGTTGAGGAAACCCGGCCCTTTCTTCATGTGAGACCTCCTCGATGATGTGGCTGACCGAACCCTCACGGTGTCATTTACCATGGGGCACTGTCCTGTTTCCTGTAGACCAGCGTTTAGATCCAGAGGGTTGATGTGGTATAGGGTCAATTATTCTGGCGAGCAGACTTCCTGGGAAGCGCTGCGTCCTTCCTATGGGATCACGCATAACCTGGAGTTAGAAGAAGGCTTCCTGGGTGATACTAAGAATGCGTGGTGCGTTCTGGTGCTGCCAGCCTGATCCCTCCATTAGAAAGCCCCCATCATCTCGCCTCAGTCATTTCAGTGCCTTTCATAGAATCTTAAAGCACTGACAGAGCTGGAAGAAATCTGAGAAGCCCATTCACTTATGTTTCTATTCATTTCCTCAAACATTTGTTGAGCATCTACTGTGCCAGGTTGTGAGCTGCAGGGAACAGAACCAAAGGGATCCCTGATCATGGAGCTAACAGCCAGGTGGGAGTAGATACCTGGAAGACAGGTCTGCAGGGGTGATGGGTTACAAGTGACTGTAGGGGGAGGTGACTTACGGCCGCCAGGTGGCTGCTGTGTGATGGGGGTAGGGAGCCTACCTAAGAGGTGGGACATGGGAGCTTGACAAGAGCAAGCCAGCTGTGCAGGGATGGGGGTTGCAATACAAGGAGAGGCAAGAACTGGTGCTGGCAGAAGCCCTGGCACCTGCCAGGGTAAGCAAGGAGCCAGTGAGCAATGGAGAGGGGACTGCGGGAGCAGCAAGGCAGCTGCTGCGATAACAGCCTGGGTAGGCGTGGAGGTGATGGCCAGCCCACTACCCCCACCTCTTACTGCAGAGAACATGAGCTCAGAGAGGATGGAGAGGTGCTACTCACTGCGCAACGCCCCCGCATCAGGAGCTTTCTATGCCGCATCTCAAAGCCTCACAGCCTGCTTCATAGGAGTTATTGCCCATTTTACAGATGAGGCCAGTGAACAATGAGGCTGCCTGCCTAACGGCATAGAGCCACAGGTGGGCAGCAGGGTGGAGCCCAGGCTGATGAGGTTCCCCAACACTTCAAAGTCACCCCCACAGCGAGATGACCACTGCAGAAGCAGGCTGCCTCCAACCTCGGCTCTGGCACTGAGAAGACCTGTGACCAGCCCAAGGACCTTCTCCCCTTCCGTGCCTCAGCTTCCCAATCTGTAAAATGGGAATAATGATTGTACCTATTTCAAATAGGCGGGGATGAAATGAACTAATTTATGTTAAGTACTTAGAATGATGCCTGACCCCCAGCAAGCACTTGATGGTAGATATTTATGTTTATGGTTCCACCGGCACCGATACTTACAGAGAGGCAAAGCTGAGATGATAGGTTGCCAGCCTCCCCGGGTGGAGTCCACCTCACTCACAGCAGGTTCGGGTGCATCCATTGAAAGGTTAGCAGGGCCAGGTGTGGTGGTTCACACCTATAATCTCAGCACTTTGGGAGGCCAAGGTGGGCAGATCACTTGAGGTCAGGAGTTTGAGACCAGCCTGGCCAACTTGGCAAAACCCATCTCTACCAAAAAGACAAAAATTAGCAGGGTGAGGTGATGCATGCCTGTGATCCCAACTACTCAGGAGGCTGAGACAGGAGAATCACTGCAACCCAGGAGGCAGAGGTTGCACTGAGCCAAGATCACGCCACTGTACTCCAGCCTGGGTGGCAGAGTGAGACTCTGTCTCAAAAAAAGGGTTGCTGGGAGGAGAGGAGACTTACCTTGGGGCCCCTGCACACTCCTTGCTGGGGATGAAGCTGGCTGGGGGAGCCACAGACCCGTGTAGGATAGCTCCAGGCTCCTTCTAACGCCTGTCCCAGGACAGGCTCCCGTTCTGGAGTCACACTCTGTCCCCGTTATCATGGGGGCCCACCCTCAGCTACCGAGCCCAAGGATCAGTTGACCACCTATGGCCCTCAAACATCCCATCCACATGTACCCTAATATGGGCAGACAGGGCTCAGGCTAAATGTGAGGAGACTGAGCAGCAGGTACATGCCCAAGGGGCATGGCAGGGCCAAGACTAGGTGGTCTAACCTTGCCACCCCTCCCTACACTTAGCCCCTGCCTCTGGTGCCCAGATGGGTCACTTCAGCACAGGGCACAGGGATTTTCATAACTTCCCAGGCAGATACCCAAAGGGTTAAACTCAGGCTCCCTCCTTCCTCCATCCCAACTCCAATCCTTGCTGACTCTGCTCCCCCTCCCTAGCCCCAGCTATTCTGGGACAATGGAGGCAGCAGATGGCCCGAGTCCGCCCGACCCTCAGGATCTTGGAACAACCCGAAAATCTGCTGCCGAGTCTAAATGCAGGCCAACCAGCAGCCTTCCCTTGGTGGGTGGGGAGGACGGCGGCTGTGGATGGCACCATTCCAGCCCCACCGGGCTGCAGGGCTGGGGCTGCCCTCACTCAAGGTATCCCATAAACCCAGCCCTGGGCCAGCCTAGAAATAAACGGGGCTTTGGAGAAGCACAAGCAGCCGGCTACACCCAATTCACTGTGTGACCACAGCACGTGGCAGTCCCTCTCTGGACCTCTCCTCCCTGGGAAACAAGGGGCTGGCTTCAGGTGCTCAGTGGTTCCAGACGTCCCCAACACAGATGTGGCCAGAACAAGGTTTCTGATTCTTCGAGGGTGGAGCCCCTGGCCCTGGATGCCTGGGTCAGGACCCTCTGGCCCTCAGGATCTCTCCTCCTCCTTCCCCATCCCAGAGCCCCACTGTGACCCCAACTCCCAGCATCACTGGGCATGATATGACCTTCCCTCCATGACCCTCCCCTTCCCACCTATGTGTCACCACACCTGAAATTTCAGTATGATCACTTTCATTCAACCATCCCCCTCCTTAGGATCTGAAATTCCAAGGGCACTTGCATTCACCTAGTGCCTGCCCCTGGCTGTCAAACAGCCCTTTGGCGCCATTATCTGATACCTGAGGCTAAGTCCCTCTGCCCTGAGTCTCCATTCCACCTTCTCCCCACCCAAGCCCTGGGGGCAGAAAAAAGGAGGAACCACTCCACACCTCACAGCACACACACTGTGCCACATAGCCACAAAAACAACACACACACCACATACACATCTTCATGCAGCATCCACTGAGCCCTTCCTTTCTCTGTGCCAGGCTCTGGAAAACGGTCTTGGCATACATCCTATCATGCCACCAAAAATGACCGCCATCTCCACTGTAATAGACAGATAAAGACAGTGTTCCTGTCAGGAACACCGTGGCTGCTTGCAACAGAAAACTGAACCAAGAGACTTAAACAAATAAGCATTTAATTTTCGTACAGAACCAGATGCAGGGAATAGCTGTGGGTGATTGTCTGGGCCTTTCCTTCATGGTAGCAACGTGGCTGCCCTAGGTCCAGCCATCACACCCATGTTCACAGCAGGAAGATGGGGAGTGGGCTGCAAAACCTTCCCCAGAAATGTCTCTGTTAGCTTTGCTTAGTTCCCTCTGGCCAGAGCTAGCCCCATGGTAGCCCCTAACAGCAAGGGAGGCTGGGAAATGAGCAAAAGGATCATCACGACTGGCTGGGACCCATCATGCTCTTCATCTGGGCCCGGGTATGCCGAGGCTCCAAACAAAATCTGAACAGGGGGTGGAGAGCAAGGAGCTTTGCGAGACTGGTTGGCAACAGCAGCAGCCACTGAGGACCCTGGATTCTGCCATCCTTCCACCCGTGTCCCTTCAGTGACTTGGGACCCAGTCGAGGGAGGCGGGAGTGGGCAGCTCAGTGCTTGAGCCCCAGAGGAATGCCTGAGAGACATGAGCCAGAGGCAAGAGCCAGGCCCCACCCAGAGGCCATGTCACTGCCTAAAGGGTTAGGACCCCTGAGCCCCAGCCCAGTTCTGGTGCCCCCTGCCTTTTTTGCAATTCAGCCTCCTGAAAGAGTCTATGCCCTGGAGCCTCTCTGGCCATCAGCTGGTCCAGCTGGTCCTCTGGGCCATCTAACTCCCCTCCTAGGGGCCTGGGATGCCTTCAGTGCCCATTGCCACCCAGATCCTGGACTTGTCAACCACCAGAAGGCCCTGCCAGGAACTGCCTATCACAAGACACTTGCCAGGGGCCCTCAGAGCCACCCTGGGAGCCAAGGAACAGCCAGAAGCCTCTGTCCAAGCTTTGCCCAGCAGTTCAGGATTCATCGGGCAACCAACTGTGGACACCAGGGTGTATCTGGGTAGAGGAGACAATGGAGGGAGCGAAACCTGCAGAGAGACCAGAAAAGGACAGGCCAGTCACCCCCACTCTCCTAGGGGGACGCAGGCCACAGACAGTTTGCAGCGGGTTTCTCCGCTCACGCTTAGGGCTACAGAACTCTTTGCTGTGGCGACATCTGTGCCTTGCCAAATATTTAACAGCAATTCCTGGGCTCCACCCACAAGATTCCAGTAGCATCTCCCCAAATCATAATGATCAAAAATATCTCCAGACCTAAAAAGCAAAAAAAGAAGGGAAGGCCCCCAGTGTGGTGCTTGGCATTGTGGATGCTCAGGATACCCTTGGCAGATGTCCCCCAGAAGACAAATCACCCCCACTTGAGAACCGCTAGTTTGGAGAAACTTCAAAGGCTGGAAAAGCCATCAAGAGACCTCAGCTGAGGCCAAGCATCTGACCACATGCCTCTGAATCTCTCGGTGGCTCCAGATCCATTTGGCAGTAATCTGTGGCTTCTGGAATCTTCAGGCTTACAGGAAATTTCAGATCAATTCCTTTTTTTTTTTTTTTTTTGAGACAGAGTCCTGCTCTGTCACCCAGGCTGGAGTGCGGTGGCACAATCTTGACTATATTTGGATGCCTAGACTTGGCCCTAGTTCCTCCCATCCAAGGTTCCAGCCCCCAGACCCACCTGGAGGGGTCCTCCTCCGGGGAGAAGGGGCCCTGTAGCTTAATGACGTTGAGTTTCCCCTCAAAGACACCGTAGCTGAGGGTGACCTGGGCAGGGAGATAAAGGAGTTAGTATTGGGGCGTCACACTCGGGATCCCCACAAGGGAGCAGCATTCTGGCACAAGCGTTTTAAGCTGCAGGGAAAGCTGTGCGGGCACAGGAAATTAATTCCCTGCTGGCTGTGGGAGCTCCTTACCCCAAGGCACTTTACAGCTGGACGAGCACTACCATGCCCTTAATCCCATTTGCTCCCTCGACAGCTGGGCTCCCTGAGAGGCTGGAACAATTCCCCCATCTACAGATTTAGAAACTGAGGCTCAAAAGGAAAAGGCACCTTTCCAGTAAGCTGTATGCCTGGACTAGAACAGAGGTTTTCTGACACTCACCGGAGGGTCTCAGCACATCCCTCTTCACCTGGAGCCTCTACTCCACCAGGCAGTGAGGACGTGGATCACAATTTCAACCCAGAGGCCGTACAGGTTTAGGACTGTGGGCTTAGGGACCACCCGCCCAGGGTTCCAGAGCCCCTCTGACCCATACTAGCTGTGTGCCACAGTCAGTTTAGCTCACCGGGCCTCACTTTCCTCATCTGTATAATGGGGATAACGTGAGTACTGACCTCATGTGAATATTGTTAGCAACCAGAGAGTTAAAGAAGGGTGGCCTGGTGAGGTGGCTCATACCTGTAATCCCAGCACTTTGGGAGGCTGAAGCAGGCAGATTACTTGAGGTCAGGAGTTTGAGACCAGCCTGGCCAACATGGTGAAACCCCATCTCTACTAAAAATACAAAAATTAGCCGGGCGTGATGGCGTATGCCTGTAATCCCAGCTACTCGGGAGGCTGAGGCAGGAGAATCGCTTGAACCTGGGAGGTAGAGGTTGCAGTGAGCCGAGATCACGCCACTGCACTCCAGCCTGGGCAACAAGAGTAAGATTCTGTCTCAAAATAAAAAACAAAAAAAGAAGGGAAGGCCCCAAGTGTGGTGCTTGGCATTGTGGGTGCTCAGGATACCCTTGGCATTAGGGTGCCCTGGTTTGGGCTGCCCCAAATCTGCCTCCCTTTCCTGGCTTTAGGCCCTGCCATCCTAATGAGACCGATCTCACACCCCACTTCCAGGTCTGGCCAATCATCACTAACTCCAGGTGCTGGTAGGAGACGGGTCATATGACCCAAGCCCAATCAATCAGACCAATGAACACCAGCCCTGGGATCTGAAGGAAGGAGGCACTCTCCTCCCTCCTCCCGATGGCACGGGGCTGCCATCTTGCCTGCATGAAGGCTGAGTCTGCCTGATGGACCTAACCAACTTGGGGGAGAGCAGATGAAAGAGGAGAGAGTCTTGGAGGCCGTCTGCTCGCCTAGACCCCGCCAGACCTAGCCCGCCAGGCCCTCAGCTTCTCAGGTATGTGAACCAAGCATTTCCTTTTCAGGTTAACCAGCCCATGTTGAGTTTCGTCGCACTGTTGGGCAGGAGATCTCAGGGACACTCTCAGCCGGGACCATCTACAGAGTCAGAAACCAGCCTCTGCCAGGCAGAGCCAGTTGGACCTGTGTTACCTGCCAGGTGGTGGGATAAGGGTCTCACTCCTCCCCCAGCCTAACATCCGTTCCCCCTGAAGCCATTTCCATCCCAGTAACCTCAGGGTTGGAAGGAACAGCGCTGAGCCATGGATAAGGAAGTTTTGATGAAGGAGGGGCTCCCAGTGGGTAAAAGCAGAAAGGGCCCCCTGGCTCCCCAGGAGGAATGTGGGGAGGATGGAAGATTGAGGGGTTGAGCCAGGGGTGGGGGCAGGGTGGTGGGAACCTGAAGACAACCTCATCTCACGTGTGCAGGTCTCTCTGACCGGCATTGGAGGACCAGATCAAAGAATGTCAGTTTCACAGATGCTAATCCTTGAGGGTTAGAGGTGAAGGGGTTGAGTCACTGTGTGCCCTTAGGGGGTCCTTTGCCACCCTAGACCTCAGTTTCCCCATCAATAGGGAACAGTCAAGCCCCATAATCTAGAGTTCCAGGTTTCTTTCAAACACCAGAAGGGAGGGTTGGGGAGACCTCATGTCTCACGTTCCTTTGGGGGAACCCCTCCTCTCTCCTGCTTCCCATTGCCACCTGCCCCAAGGCCAGCCCACCTGTTCCGGGAGCTCCGCAGTCCTCAGCAGCTGCAGGGTCTCCAGGTGGGAGTGGAAGAGGGGGCTGGGCTGCAGGCGGCCGCCCAGCTTGCACTCAATGATGTAGCCCACAGTGCAGTCGTCAGGCAGCCGGATGAGAGCAGACGTGTCCATGAAACGGGAGCCGCTGAGGGACAGAGCCAGACTGTAGACACTGGCCCAGGTCCTCCACATCCAGAGCCCCCACCCTGAGAAGGCCCTCCGCTGGCACAAGCTGGCAGAGCAGAGCACCTGCCTCCCAGACACTGTATGACCTTGAGCAAGTCAGGAACCTCGGGGAACCTCAGCCTCAGTCTTGTCCTCTGTGAAATGGGGATGCTAACGGCCCTGCCTTCCCAGGGCTGTTGTGAGGATTAAACGGAGGGATAGGAAGGTGATGCCCTTTATAAATGTAGCCTTCCTTCTCTCCCTGTCTGCTCATTCATTCATTCACTCATTTATTCATGGTCGAGCTTGAGAATCTACCTGGTACCAGAGACCGTGCTAGGGCTGAAGATACAGAGATAAGAAACACTTCCTGCCCTTAACAGCAGCCCCCATTCTGGAGGGAGACAGAGCAGGGAGGAGGAGGTCTTTCAGAGTAAGAGAGTGGTGCTCAGTTCACACTGCCTGGGGTATAGGGAGAATCAGGCAGGCTTCCTGGAGGAGGTGGCAGCTTTTTTTGTTTTGTTTTGTTTTGATTTTTTTTGAGACAGATTCTCCCTCTGTTGTCCAGGCTGGAGTGCAGTGGTGCAATCTTAGCTCACTGCCACCTCCACCTCCCAGGTTCAAGTGATTCTCCCGTCTCAGCCTCCCCAGTAGCTGCGACTATAGGCATCCACCACCATGCCCAGATAATTTTTGTATTTTTAGTAGAGACAGGGTTTCACCATGTTGGCCAGGCTGGTCTTGAACTCCTGACCTCAAGTGATTCACCCACCTTGGCCTCCCAAAGTGCTGGGATTACAGATGTGAGCCACTGCACCTGGCCTTCCCCCACCCACCCCACTCCACCCGAGACAGTCTTGCTCTACCGCCCAGGCTGCAGTGCCTGGTGCTGATACACCACCTCTTCCTGGAAGCCTTCCTTTCTGCCCCCAACCAGAAGGCCCTTCTCCCTCCTCGGAAGGCCCTTACATTTGGCCTTCACCTCCCCTATGGCACTGACCAGTCAGAAGAGGGCTGCAAATAGCAACTACCAGGGCCAGTCCGGACATTTTCTCATTTAACCGTTACCACGCCATTGGCCATTGTATGATCAGGTCCACATGCAGACGGTGGGGACGGAGGCTCTTGGAGATGGCATGACTTGCCTGTGTGTGCAGCCCCTGAGGGCAGGTGGCTTGCTCACCACTAACTGCCGCTCTGACACACCTGGATGAGGAGCAGTTTCTCCTGAGCCCACTCAAAGCCTTCCTGCTGCAAAGGCCCCTCCTGTACCGCAGGGCCAGCCCCTCCCCGCCTTCCTGCCCACCCCTGGGTCTCTGCTTACCTGGCCCACGGAGCCATCTTCAAAGCCAGTTTGCGATTGATGCAGAAGCCAGCGCCCCCGGTGGCGAACCAGAACTGTACCAGCCTCTGAGGGAGAGGAGGGCAAAGGGGCAGAGTGAGCCTGGCGGGAGTTGGCGGGGAAAGGGACACCCCAACCAGCGTGGCTCAAAACCTCTTCATTTCGACTCTCACTAGAGTCTTGCTACATCGTGGCATTATTGTGCCATTTTATAGATAAGAAAACAGAGGCCCAAAGTCACATAGCTAATTATGAGTGGTGAGGTTGCTGATGGGACCCAGGTCCAGCTGGATTCCGGTTAAAGGGCACGTGTGTTTTACTCACCCGGCCACCGGGCCCTTTCCCCTGAGAACGGTCTCTACCTCACTCCATGTGGCTTGGGAGGGGCTGCCAAACACAGCACCTATCCTCCTGGGCCACAGGTGGTCCTAGGTTGAAGGGGCCTGGGTGCACACAGGAGAGACGAGGCTGGGAAAGGAAGGCTGTGCCCAGTACAGATCACTAGCACTTTCTTTTTCTTTTCTTTTTTTTTTTTTTTTTTTGAGAGTCAGAGTCTTGCTCTGTCACCCAGGCTGGAGTGCAATGGCACCATCTCAGCTCACTGCAGCAACCTCCGCCTCCTGGGTTCAAGTGATTCTCCTGCCTCAGCTTCCCAAGTAGCTACAGGCGTGTACCACCACGCCCAGCTAATTTTTGTATTTTTAGTACAGATGGGGTTTCTCTATATCTTGGCCAGGCTGGTCTCAAAATCCTGACCTCAGGTGACCCACCTGCCTTGGCCTCCCAGAGTGCTGGGATTACAGGCCTGAGCCACCGTGCCCGGCCTCAGGTCACTGACACTTTCTAGGGTTGACTTGGCGCCAGGTCCCATTCCAAGGACTTGGACAGATGACCTCATTTAATTCTTCCTTCTATATTCACAACCACTCTATGAGTAGGGGCTGTGATTACCCATTTCACAGATTAGGAAACTGAGGCACAGAGAGATGAGGTGACCTCAAGCAAGGTCACACAGCCAGGAGGTGGCAGGGCTGCCGGGTACACACACAGAGTCAGGCTCCAGCATGCAGTTCTCCACCCCAGAGGCAAACTGCTTAGGCAGAGCTGAGTGGCCAGCAGTGCAGTGGTGTGGGAGCCCGGGGGACTCCCTGGCTCCCCTGGAATCGCTCACACACAGAGCCCCGAGGCCCAGAAGGATTTAATTAAGGCTCAGAGGCTGATTAGCTACTGATAATTAAGGCTTTGTGTTTTCTGCTCTTGGTTTTCCTAATGAAGCAGATGGTGACCTGGGGAGGGAGGATGAGCCCTGCTGTGTGCCCAGCTCCTGCACCAGGCACGGTCTCTAGAGAGGGACCTCCCGACCGTTTCCTGAGGCCAAGGGAGGCCTAGGGCCTGGACCGCTCTAATACCTGATACCCAGTGGGTCCTGGGGACAGGGAGAGAACCGTGCAATATTTGGGACAGACTAATACTAAAAAATTCCTCATTATTTGTCTAAAAGTCAAGTTTCACTGGATGTAGTGGTTTTTCATTTTTTGTTCTTTTTTTTTTGAGATGGAGTCTCACTCTGTCGCCAGGCTGGAGTACAGTGGGGTGATCTCGGCTCACTGCAACCTCTGCCTCCTGGGTTCAAGGGATTCTCCTGCCTCAGCCTCCTGAGTAACTGGGATTACAGGCACGTGCCACCACATCCAGCTAATTTTTGTATTTTTACTAGAGATGGGGTTTCACCATGTTGGCCAGGATGGTCTCGATCTCTTGACCTTGTGATCTGCCCGCCTCAGCCTCCCAAAGTGCTGGGATTACAGGCGTGAGCCACCGCACCCAGCCCTAAATATTTGTTTTCTAAATCTGGCAACCCGAATCAGTGTCCATCCAGATATGGAACTGAGGCTGGTACAGGGTCCCCTGTTGTGCCAGGTGTCAACTCTTCAGTCACAGGCTAGTGGAGTTGTCTGGAGAGAGAGAGGGGGCCCAAGGCAGGGAAGGGTTCTGGGGCTCGGGCAGCAGCCATTCATCACCCAGCCCACAGTATTCCAGCAATTTTTTTTTTTTTTTGAGATGAAGTCTCACTTTGCTGCCCAGGCTGGAGTGCAGTGGCACAATCTCAGCTCACTGCAATCTCCGTCTCCCGGGTTCAAGCAATTCTCCTGCCTCAGCCTCCCGAGTTGCTGGGATTACAGGTGCACACCACCATGTCTGGCTAATTTTTGTATTTTTAGTAGAGACAGGGTTTCACCAAATTGGTCAGACTGGTCTTGAACTCCTGACCTCAGATGATCCACCCACCTCAGCCTCCCAAAGTGCTGGGATTACAGGCTTGAGCCACCGCACCCAGACATTCCAGCATTTTAACAGCCTGCACACCTTATTGGTGACACCAGGTGGCTGGGAGCCCTGCTGCAGAGTCACGCAGCCTCAGCTCACCTGGACGCTCCCTGAGTGACCAGGACAAGCCGTGGCTCCTGGGGGAAAGAAGCCTCACTATGTACTGTCTCTGTGCCACAACTGCATGAGCTCAGTCTCTCATTTCACAGAGGACGGACTGAGGGTCAAAGAGGAAGCCACTAGCCCAAACCCAAAGACATGGGGCCAGACCTGAAACTCAGAACCCCTCTTACCTCTCTAGCACATCCTCACCTCTGGGACCGGCCCCACCCTGGGACCAGCGGGCCAAGGGGCAAAGGAGGAAGAGAGGGACCCACCGTGCGGTTGTGGGGCTGCGGCTCCGAGGCGTGGATGGGCCGGTTCAGGCTGGGCCTTCCCACGTAGACGTCTTGGGCCAGCGGGAAGGCCCTCAGCAGCTGCAGCAGCACCCTTGGGTTCACGTAATTGTCATCATCCACGTGGCAGAACCACCTGTAGGGATGAAATGGGGACAGTGAACTTGTTGGTTGGGGAGGGGGTTCCAAGCCAGGGTCCCCAAGCACGCCCAGTGTCGGCCGACAGTGATAGAGTTCGGGGTAGGGGTGGGGGAGGCTGGCATTGAAGGCGTCTGTTTGGTGCCAAGTTGCATATTGTATAAGATTTTGAGAACGGTGTCCATTTCACAGATGAGGGCCAACACTGAGAGGCTAAGACACTCACCCTGGCCGGGCGCGGTGGCTCACACCTGTAATCCCAGCACTTTGGGCGGCCGAGGCTGCTGAATCACCTGAGGTCAGGAGTTCAAGACCAGCCTGGCCAACATGGTAAATCCCCATCTCTACCAAAATTGCAAAACTTAGCCAGGCATGGTGGGGTGCGCCTGTAATCCCAGCTACTGGGAAGGCTGAGGCAGGAGAATCACTTGAATCCAGGAGGCAGAGGTTGCAGTGAGCTGAGATCCCGCCATTGCACTCCAGCCTGGGTGAGAAGAGCAAAACTCTGTCTCAAAAAAAAAAAGGTCATTTGCCCAAGGTCACATAGCCAATCCTGAATGGCAGTACTGGAACCCAGCTGGACTTCCCAGCCATCTGCCCACTGCATGCTAGGGGAGTGGGGGCTGAAGTCAGACCCCAGGAGGCCCCAGGGTTATTTTCAACTGGGCCCAGACCACACCTATCCCCAGAGATCCAGGAACACTCACCTACGCCCACTGGCCAGGAAGGTGTCAAACTCAGCAGCCATCTTGCAGGACAGAGCTGGGTGACTGTGTTCTGCAGAGCAGTTGGTGACCACAAGGTGGGACCCTGGAGAAGTGAGGAGTCAGAGGACCCTGCCTGGCTCCTGCTTCACAGCCCGGAACACAGAATACAGAGCAAGGCTGGGCTGCAGGGAATCTGGATCGGCCCACCCACTCCCATTTTACACATGGTGACACTGAGGCCCGGGGAGGGCAGACCTGCCTGGGACCACAGAGCTACTGGACAGCAGGTTGGGCTGGGACTCAGGCGTCCAGGGCCTTAACCAGCACAGCGCCTCCCCACACCCACGCCCACACTGGTTTCCAGGGAAGACGCTCACTTCCCTCCTGGGCAAAGGGGAATCCCCACATGCCAAGGGCCAGCAGCCCACTTCCTGGGAACCCTCAGGCCAGGACACAGCCCCCCTTCCCCAGCTTTCCTGGGCAACAGCTGAAGTCCCCCACCCCACCCAGGCCAGGCAGAGTTACCCAGTCTGTCCCGGAGGCCGTCGTCTGGGCTGTCAGTGAAGATGAATGTCTAGGAAGAGGAGAGGCGGTCAGGATTCCCGTCGGCCGAGGGAAGCACCAAACCAACCCACAGCCCACCACCGCCGGGCCCCAGATGGACTCTACTCCTTCAGTGACAGACACACCCCTCTCCTGGTTGCACACTCCTTTAGAACAACATATAACACACACAGTCCAGCTTTTGTAGACCCACAACTTCAGGGTGTACACAGGCCACCATATAAACACACTCACCCCCTCTCCAGAGCAGCACCACAGGGACCCAACCATAGCCACACACCTGGGCAGCATCTCACCCTCTTCTATCACGCACACACACATATACACACACACACATACACATATACACACATGCACACTTACACATACACGCACATACATACACTCACTTCCGTTCCAGAGCGGCACCACAGGGACCCAACCATAGCCACACACCTGGGCAGCATCTCACCCTCTTCTATCACGCACACACACATATACACACACACATACATACACATATACACACATGCACACTTACACACACATACACACATACATACACTCACTTCCGTTCCAGAGCGGCACCACAGGGACCCAACCATAGCCACACACCTGGGCAGCATCTCATCCTGTTTTATCACGTGCGCGCGCGCACACACACACACACATATACACTCACCTCCTTTCCAGAGTGGCCCCACAGGGACCCAACCATAGCCACACACCTGGGCAGCATCTCACCCTCTTCTGTCATGCACACAGGCACACACACACACATGCACACTTACACACACGTACATACACACACATATACAAACACAGTCACAGCCACACTCAGCCCCTCCACGATTACATAACACAACCCTAAACTCATTATCAGGACACAAACTCGATGTGAACAGACCCACACCCACACCCACACCCACACCCAGGGACACCGTGCCACTAGGGAGACATCACACTTCCACAGCCACGCAAACCTGTGCCAGTCACCTCAGAGATGCTCCCACAACCCAGTCCAGCTCCCCCAGCCAAGAGCTTCCAAATGCTCTGTCCCTAGCGACCCTCAAACCTCACAAGGCAGGTGTCACCTGTTCCCTTCCCAGATGACAAAAAGGAGGCTGAGTGACAGACCAGGGTTGGCAAGTGCTAGGCTGAGATTCAAACCCACAGGCCTCGGACCTCTCCCTACCGCCTCCCAGGCAGCTAAAGCTGCTCAGCGCCCTACATAAACCAAACCCAGACTCTGAATGACAGGCAGAGGCAGCACGTGGACGCCACAAAGACGAGCCAGGCACGGCCCAGCATGGGGAGAGCTGCTCGGCTGCCCAAGTGGGTCCTCTCACACCCAGTGAACACCAAGGGCCTTTGAGGGCGTCCCTGGCCCTGGGACTGCCCTGCCCAGGACTCGGGACAATTTTGGACCCCTTCCAAGTGTCCCACCTAATGTTTAAAGCCTCCAGACTCCCTCAGCCCCCACTGGGGCCACACTTGTGGCCTATCCCTGACCTCCCTCCAAGCTGTCTATCTGCCTCTAAGAGGTAGACAGCAGAGTTAATGTGGTTCCTCCGAGTAGGCGCGTTAGTCGGTGGCCTGCTGTGATGTTAGCTGTCAGTCGTACAGTTAGTGCTACTCATTGACTAAAAAGGCAGATTGTTTCGATGATGATTAGCATAGGAATAAGCGGGATAGGTGTCCCTTGGGGTAAGAAATGGGCTAGAGATGCTTTAAATCGAAATCCTGTGAGTACAGTGGCTGCCCACAGGGGAACTGTTATGCCTAAATGTATTGATAGTTGAGTAGTTGGTGTAAATGCGTCCGGTGTAAGTCCGAGGAGGTTATTTAGGGCGATAAAGGTAATTAGGGCTAAGAGTATAAGGGATGAGTTCGTCCTTCAATATCATGAATTGCTGTTATGTGTTTTAGTGGAAGTTGGATTAAGCATTGTTGGAGCGAGGAAAGTCGGTTGTTGATTAGGTTATTAGAAGGCACAATCAATGTAGGAAATAAAATGATATTGCTGGGGGGTTCCTAAGATTGTTGGGATATTGAAAGACGTGACTAGATTTTTGTTCATTTTAGTTCTCAAGTTTTATGTTTTTGGGTTTTAATTAACTGTGATGACAGGGTGGTGTGGGAGGTAAAATTCAGTATTTTTAATTGAATAATATAGAATAGGGCTACAACAATTGATAAGATCGCCACTGGTCATGTTGAAATACCTAGTTGGGGCATTCACTGTAGAGAGAGGTTCTCTCAATCTTTTTTTTTTTTTTTTTTTTGAGACGGAGTTTTTGCTCTTGCTACCCAGGCTGGAGTGCAATGGCGCGATCTCGGCTCACCGCAACCTCCGCCTCCTGGGTTCAGGCAGTTCTCCTGCCTCAGCCTCCTGAGTAGCTGGGATTACAGGCACGCGCCACCATGCCCAGCTAATTTTTTTTATATTTTTAGTAGAGACGGGGTTTCACCATGCTGACCAGGATGGTCTCGATCTCTTGACCTCGTGATCCACCCGCCTCAGCCTCCCAAAGTGCTGGGATTACAGGCTTGAGCCACCGCGCCCGGCCGGTTCTCTCAATCTTTAACTGAAAAGGTTACTGCTAAGTAGCTTTACAGTGATGCAATGTATGGATATGAGGCTCACACTTCAAAGTGTTTGAAATATAGGAATTCTAGAACGATGGGTATAAAGCTATGATTTGGTCCGCAAATTTCTGAGCATTGCCCATAAAATAAGCCTGGTCGTATAGAGGCTAGGACAGCTTGTCTTAAATGTCCAGGAATTGCATCTGTTTTAACCCCTAGTGGTGGGACAGCTCATGAGTGTAAAACGTCTTCTGATGAAATTAGCATACAGATATCTGCTTCTATCGGCAAGGTTGTTCGGTTATCTACTTCAGGAAGTCGAAATTCGCTGGGTTCAAGAAAATATGTTGGGGCCGGGCACGGTGGCTCACACCTGTAATCCCAGCACTTTGGGAGGCCGAGGCGGGTGGATCACAAGGTCAAGAGATCGAGACCATCCTGGTCAACATGGTGAAACCCCGTCTCTACTAAAAATACAAAAAATTAGCTGGGCATGGTGGTGCGTGCCTGTAATCCCAGCTACTCGGGAGGCTGAGGCAGGAGAATTGACTGAACCCAGGAGGCGGAGGTTGCGGTGAGCCGAGATCACGCCATTCACTCCAGCCTGGGTAACAAGAGCGAAACTCCGTCTCAAAAAAAAAAAAAAGAAAAGAAAAGAAAATATGTTGGTATAATATAAGAATCAAAAGCTAAGTCTTCATAGTCTGAGTATTCGTAGCTTCAGTATCATTGGAGACCAGTTGCTTTAAGGGTTAAGTAGGGTTTATTAAACCCGTCTGTTATGTACAGGATTCCGTAGGGATGGGAGGGCAACTTAATAAGAATAATGGCGGGTAGGATAGTTCAGATTATTTCCATTTCTTGAGCGTTTATGGTGCTGGTATGGGTTAGCTTTGTAGTAAGTATTAGGGAAATAACATATAGGACTGGAGAGCGAATTAGGAAAATAATTATGAGGATGTGATCATGGAAATCAATTAGTTCTTCTATAATGGGGGACGTAGCGTTTTGTAGACCTAGTTGGGCTGGGTGAGCCACTAAGATATATAGAGTTTGGTCTATAATTTAACTTCGACAAAGTTATGTAATTATTTTACTAATATCTTATTGAAAAGTCATAGGGTCTATGGGATTGGCTTGAAACCAATTTTGGGGGTTCAAATCCTTCCTTTTTTGCTTAAAGATTTTACGTAGGTAGACTCTTCAAATGTGTGATAAGGAGGAGGGCAGCCATAGAGTCATTCTAGGTTGGTAGATCGCTGCTCAATAGTTGAAACTTTTCGTTTTGAGGAGAAGGCTTCTCAAATTATGAAAATCATTAGAATAACTGCTGTTCGGCCGGGCGCGGTGGCTCACGCCTGTAATCCCAGCACTTTGGGAGGCTGAGGCGGGTGGATCACGAGGTCAAGAGATCGAGACCATCCTTGGTGAAACCCCATCTCTACTAAAAATACAAAAATTAGCTGGGCATGGTGGTGCGTGCCTGTAGTCCCAGCTACTCAGGAGGCTGAGGCAAGAGAATTGCTTGAACCCAGAAGGCGGAGGTTGCAGTGAGCCGAGATCACGCCATTGCACTCCAGTCTGGGTAACAAGAGCGAAACTCCGTCTCAAAAAAAAAAAAAAAATGAGACTGTTAAGAGGGTGTTTATATTGATTGATGGGAAGATTTTGATTATAAGTGACACAGGGGCTAGTTTTTGTCATATAAGGATGAGTGTGGCGGGCATTGGGGGTACGCCTTGGGTCACTTCTGGGAGTCAGAAGTGAGGGGGGGCTATTCCTAGTTTTATTGCTAAGGCTACTAGTATTGTCGTAGATAAAATTTGGTTTACAGATGGGTTAATTGTTCATTGTCTGGAGAATAGATTGTTGAGGAGGATAGTTATTATGAGGATTATGGATGCGGTTGCCTGTATTGAAAAGTATTTGGTGGCTGCTTCCGTGGAGCGGGGACTTGTGTTTTTGACTAGTATTGGTACAATAGCTAGTGCATTTAGTTCTAAGCCTATTCAGATGAGGAATCAATGTGAGCTTAGTATTGTGATTACAGTTTCTGCTTAAAATTGTAAGGGAAATAATGAGGTGGGCTAAGGGATGATTAGTACAGGAGGGATTGGACAACATTTTCGGGGTTTGGGCCCGACAGCTTGTTCAGCTGACCTTACTTAGAATGTGGTGTAATAGGATTTAAACCTCTATGATTTACCCTATCAAAGTAATTCTTTTGTCAGACATACTTCTTATGTTTGGGGCAGGATGCTGGATGTTAGGATGGGTATTGAAATATACACATAGTGCTCGTGTAAGTGGTAAAACATTTTTTCATAGGAGGTGTAGTAGTTGGTCATAGCAGACTCGAGGGTGTGCTGTTCGAATTCACGAAAATAGGGTGGTTCAGAGGAGGGTTTTGGCTATACAATGTATTGTGCAGAGCTCTGGTAT